CAACTTAAAGTCTGTTACTCTATCGGTTTTCTAACAGGGCATCGGCTTTATAGCAACACCAGAAAGCTCAAACTCTATCCAAACGCTTTATTTCATGGGCGCATTTACTGCTTGATTTAATTTGCAATAAACACACGTATTGTTATGTATTAATATACATTCCGTTGTTAAGTGCAAATACATAATCCACAGTCCCTCATTAAAAACACTTCAGGTGGATTAGTGATTGTAAAGATAAGATATGCGGGCATAATCCAAGCGGATTTTAACTAATTCGTTCAATATTCAGGGGGTGTGTGTTGTCATTTTTAAGGTACAAAAACACGGCAATTTTACTGTCTGTTATTGCCCAGTGTTTAGTGATTATTGCTCGTTTCCTCTATTGCAGTGATTCGAGAAAAACATGCAATTAAAGCGAATAAACCATTGTGGGACGTGAGTAGGAAATAAACTTTACCGGGTTTTTAGATTATTCGATTACAGGGCAAAACGTAAATTTGTTCCATTAAAAGCCTTAAAGAAACATTGATTTTTAGTTGGATATTTTCAGTGAAAAACATCGTAACCATTGGCATAACCAACCAACGAGAAACCACAATAGTTTGGGATAAAACCACAGGAATCCCATTGTACAACGCCATAGGTATGTTTATGGGGGTTGATTGCCCTACTTTGCCCTTAACGCATGGCCTTTCAGTGTGGAATGATATCAGGACAAATTCAACTGTAGATGTAATATTAGCGAAGATCCCCGACAACAATAAAAATCACTTCAAGTCGGTTTGCGGGCTTCCAGTTTCCCCCTATTTCAGTGCCTTCAAGCTGAAGTGGCTCATTCAGCATGTGCCGGCCGTCAGGAAAGCCATTAGGGCGAAAACGTGTCTTTTTGGAACAGTCGATACTTGGCTACTATGGGTATTAATCAGCGCAAACCGGCACAACCGAGCGGCATAACACAAGTGAAATTTTCCGCAGAACCTAACCGGAGGCCCGAATGGGGGCAAACACTTAACGGACGTGACAAATGCATCCAGAACATTCCTCATGAACATTGAGACTCTCTACTGGGACTCTCAGTTGCTCAGCACTTTTAAAATACCCCAAGCTCTGCTGCCGGAAATCAGAAGCAGCGCGGAGATATACGGAAAGATCCGGGATGGATGGCCGCTGGAAAAAGTCCCCATCTCCGGAGTAAGTCCGGCAAGAGTCGAACCGTTCGAGCAATACAACTAATAGGTTTTAGATTTTAGGTAATCAACAGTCGGCCTTATTGGGGCACAGCTGCTTTCGAGAGGGCATGGCCAAGAGCACTTACCGAAGCGGCTGTTTCCTGCTGTACAACACCGGAACTAGCGTAAGTGATGCGACTTTTCACAGAGTTCAAGTCAAATCAAGCAGTTTTTAGCGAGTCCATTCTTCGCATGGGTTAGTGACCACAGTGGCGTACAAATTTGGAGACGAGCCCGCCATTTACGCTTTGGAAGGTACTTTCTAGGCGGCTTTAAATGCTTTTTTCCAATCTAATCTAAATATTTTTCGCGTTCAAGGAAGTGTCGCTGTGGCTGGGGCCGCAATAAAATGGCTGCGCGACAATATGGGGTTCATAAAAAACATCAACGAAGACACCGAATCGCTGGCCAAAGAAGTGTTTACTACTGGCGATGTGTATTTCGTTCCGGCCTTCAAGGGCTTGTTCGCGCCCTATTGGAGGCAGGATGCCAGAGGGATAATTTGCGGATTGACGGCGTTTTCAACCAAACAGCACATCATAAGGGCGGCCTTAGAATCGGTCTGCTTCCAAACCAGAGACGTTCTCGAAGCGATGAATAAAGACTGCGGAATTCCACTCTCCAAACTCAACGTCGATGGCATTATGACCACGAATAACTTGCTGATGCAATTACAGGTAAATGTCTGAAAAAACCCGTTTTATTGGCCTTTGAGTCATTTGGGTATGCGTATATACAGCCATTCATACGTAAGTAAATTAATTGGCTTTTTATACTTGGATCACAGACCTCGACCTTTTGCGTCGATTCGTGCTGTTTTCCCGTTTATTTCGGTTGTTTAGACACTGTCACGTTTCAGATTAAATTCCTATAAACAAGCTCCATTTCTTTCTCCTTTTCAGTTAAAAGTAAGGGCTGGAAATTGGCACTAAACAATCTGGAACAACTGCGAAAGCACACATTTTTAGACAAGTTGGTGGATGCGCGTTTATGTGTTCAAAGGCGTTTTCTTGGACATTTGGCCTGAATTGTTTGGTCTTTTAA